CAATTAGGTTAAACATAAGTAAATCCTTTTATGGCTAGTAATCTATTAGGCAATTGCCAAATTTTTTCAGCAATTGAAAAATAAGGGCACCACCCAGGGAATAAAAATTCCCTTCGCTAAAGACTGTATTACTTATACTAAAGGTACCTTTTGCATTCCACACCCGTGAGGTAACAAGTACATATAATTACTGAGGCAGCTTTTTCAAAGCTCAGCCACCCTTATTCTGTGAAACTCCTGTTGTTTTGTGAAATACTTGGTGGTTACATATCTGGTCTGCTCCAACCTCTTTCTCCAGTGACTCTTACTCAAGAACACCAATGAATTTCATGGTTAATTAAATTTATGATAAAAAGAGAACATATTTATTTTCCTATTAGAATAGCTACCAGTACACCATTACCCACTACCATTAACATTTACAGTGTCATAGAACACAGTGTCCAGTATCACACAGACTCTAAGTCAAAACATGTGTGCCAAGAGATAAGAAACAATTACAGTAATCTGGATTTCTGCAATGAAACAACGTGCTAAACAGCTCATCGATTTATAGACAGAAAAAGGTGTGTGGGAGGCACAATTCACTATAAGTGTGCAAACAATCATATTTCTCAGCACTTGCAGTGAATATCACTTCCCATGTGCCCCTTTAGCTGAGTAAACATTGACTGATCAATTTAACACTTTTGCTTTTTCGTGTTAGACATGCATTAATTACAGATGCCCAGCGCTAGTCTGGCCCTTTTCGGAGTTGCATTACTTTTTTGGAGGATATAAGATGATAGAGGCACATTGATAGAAATGTGGGGCTTCTATGTATGTTTGCAACAGTCTGCATCTGTGATATTTGCACCCATTATGAATTTTTAAAGAGATTTTCAAACATGTCCTCTCATTCAAGGTTATTTTTCTGCAGGTGGAATTCCTACAATAAAAAGGATGGGGATTTGATGGATGTTCTTAGGACCACATTCTAATAACCAAAATACATTTACTATCCAGAAAAAAACAGGTTACATGAACACATGTTGCTCTTGGGAGCTGCTTCTTGAATTAATGTCTTCTCTGTCTGCTTTAATGAATAGGGCTTGTCTGTGCTGCTGCCCCACTGTCACTGTTAGTGTAATTGGTTGTATCTGCTTTCGGACTGGAAATTACACAATTGATTTCAAAGCCAATACTTAAAGATCTCAGCAAAATAAATGGTGTACAAATCGAGCAATATATTTTCATTTGTACAGTTTGAAAATATTATTTCGCAAATGACTAGACCTTTATCATATACCATGTGAAAGTAATATAAACCCTAACTGGATAATATTTAGTTTGCTAAAGCAATTAGGGATCTGGTTTGCATCTATGGGGGGTTTGTCGAATCCTACATGAACTGGAGAAAAAAATCGAAACAAAAAATGGAACCCCTTTAAAATCTGTAGGGACTCTCAGCTCACACCCGCAATACTGGTCCCAGGCAGAGCTGGGTTAACATAGGGGCTGATGGAAATGCAGCTCCAGACCCCTACCTTAATATAGGCTCAGCTGCCATAAAGCACAGGCCGCGCATGGAAGGCAATGGGCCGGCGGGGAGATCTCCTCTCATCTGCCCTGCATTTTGCATGCACCGCCTGTGCGGTGGTAAACAATATTCTCCCTCTCCTGGAACCCTGGCAGCTCTGATAAACCTACGCGGCTGCGTCCTTTCCCTTCAGGGCGGACGCTGCACACGGCTCTTACGCAAGCCTGGCAAATCAAATGCCAGGCTTACCTTAGCATTATGCCAGTGTGGCTGTGTCCTTTCATCTTTGGGCGCATGCCAGCAGAGGCTACTGGAAACATCCCAAGGGTGGCAAATAAGAGAAGAGCTGAGATATGACGTAATGTCCTATCCCTGCCACTCTTAAAGCTGCTCACCGCGGTCAGCAGGTAAGGGCATTCTAAATGCCTACTTTATTAACATTATTTGTAAATTATAATTAAAAAAAATCTAAGCTCCAGAGAAAGCGAAAATAATGATGATAGTAAATAGTCCCAGCAAAGAAAAAAATTGTATTAAAGGAGAACTATGGGGTCAGGGCTTTTCCCCATAGTTCTCCTTAGGGTAACGGGAGGACACAAACTAGCGCCCTCTCGTCACCATAGAGATACACCCAGCTGCGTGAGTGACAGCTTGCTCTGCCTATCTAGAGACAGAGCCAGCTGTACCCGCCCCCTCCACCGTCCGTTCCACCAGTCAGCGCTGGTGGATCAGAGCGGGAAGGGGGGAATCCAGCCCCTCCCCTGTCACGGCAGAGAGACTTGACAGGATCGAGAAGTGAGCGAACGCCGGTATGTGTTCCCGAACTACTGAGCCGACCTGTGACAGTCTCATTGTCACAGGTCGGCTAGAACTACGAGGTGAGTGAAAAGCACTCACCTCATAGTTCTCCTTTAAAACAACTTGT